ACATTCCTCTAAGACCAGGAATCATTCTTGTGGCCCTACGCTGCACCTTTTCTAAGGCTGCAGTGTAGATCTCAGTCCTGAGAGATATACAGCCAAACTGAGACACTGGCATTTCTAAAAATTTGCAGATAAATTTAGTTAAATACCCATCTCGGGTTCGGTGTGTTTCGTGCCACCACCACGTTTTTATAAGCCGCAGCGTGATATTGGGGGTGTGTGTGCGTGTTTATGCAAAAATACGCATGGGGGGGTGCCGGTAAGTCCTCACCGCTCAGTCCCCAGTTACACCAGGGGTGCTGTGTGCTGGTTTTCGATCCCGCTGAGCCCTTAACACAGATTGCCAAGGGGAGGCTGATTATTGCACCTCCTTTCGAAGCATGTTAATCCGAATGCATTAATAAGACATTTCAGTGAATCAGCCTCCCGTCAGATGCGTGCATCCGCAATTCCCTGATACTGGATAACTTGGTTCTAAGATGGTGCTCATTTATTGGGTGTCAGGGGTCAGTTTTATATATGTGTGATGATCAGATATATCAGCAAATGATTTTAGGTCTGATTGAATATAACATTTTTGCATCTTAATGGGTGCATTTTTTGTTGTTAAATCTTAAAGGAGTTTGCATTTAGGAGAGCACAGTCCCTTTATGATAGTGTGGTGAACACATTGCATGATTTACAGTTTAACCCTCCCTCTATTTTGTAGCTGCAAGACAAAGCTACTGTTCTTACAACTGAAAGGAAGAAGGTAAGTTATTGCTTTATTAGTTTGCGGACTGAATATTTAACAATTTGGGGGGTTATATTTGGGGTTTGAAAGGTCGTGTTCCTCTTTCGCTCACCTCCCCACAGCTGCTAGTTTCACTCACTAATATTTTTGTCAGAGAGGAAAAACGGTCCCCGAAGAGCTGGTCCGGGTGGAGGATCTCTCCAAATACCGTCAGGTGGCATCCCATGCTGTGAGTATTGGCTCCGTGGCCCCCCTGTCTACACATCCGCCCTCATGCTGTATATGTGTATCACTCATGTCACATGACTTTGGTTTTATGTTTTAAGGGTCTGCACAGTGCCAGTGTACCTGGAATCCTTGCTCTGGACTTGTGCTCCACAGATACCAACAAGGTGCTCACTGGTATGGCCCTTTATCACTGCCTCCTGTTGCTAAGGCAACACTGTGCCTCGTTGTGTGTGGGTGTCCCCTGCAGTGTCCTTTCCTTTAAACACATTCTCTCTGTGCAGGCGGTGCGGATAAGAATGTGGTGGTGTTCGATAAGCGAGAGGAGCAGATCGTGGCTACTCTGAAGGGCCACACGAAGAAGGTCACCTCTGTCATCTATCACCCCTCTCAGGTAGAGATGACAGACCGGCCCGCCGTCAGTCCGCAGGCTGTGTGTTCCTAGCTAACCCGTAGTGCCTCCCTCTCTCCCATAGTCGGTGGTGTTTTCCGCTTCCCCGGACAGCACTATCCGCGTGTGGTCCGTATCCAGCGGCAACTGCGTGCAGGTTATTAAAGCTCATGAGGCAGGAGTGACTGGACTCTCTCTGCATGCCACTGGAGATTACCTGCTCAGCTCATCTGAGGACCAGGTATGATCTCCAGCACGAGACGCCTACCAGCGCCCGTGTCTTCGGACCTCTGTCTGCACCAGGGCTGTGGAGTCGGTAGATAAATGCTCCGACTCCGACTCCACAGCCCTGGTCTGCACGTCCCTCTCTTTGGGCTGGGATTCCTGGTGCACCTCTGCCACACCTCAGTTGACCTTTATGATTTATTTCCTGCTATTCTGTTTCAGTATTGGGCCTTCTCCGATATCCAGACGGGTCGGGTCCTCACCAAGGTTACCGATGAGACTGCAGGCTGTGGTAAGCACCCCCCCCCGCTTCAGAATTGCAGGAAAGAATGTGGGCGTATTAAATTGCTCCCCCTAACCCTGTGTGGCATCCCGTCCCCTTCCCAGCTCTGACCTGTGCCCAGTTCCACCCCGATGGGCTCATCTTCGGAACCGGCACCGCGGACTCCCAGATCAAGATCTGGGATCTCAAGGAACGCACCAACGTGGCCAACTTCCCCGGACACTCTGGGCCGGTCACGGCCGTGGCCTTCTCCGAAAACGGTTACTACCTGGCCACGGGTGAGTGACTAACCTTCGCGTGTGTCAGCTTGTGCCTGGCACGTGGTTTGCACGTCGCGCTGAACACACTATTGCATTTCACAGGTGCTCAGGACAGCTCTCTCAAACTGTGGGACTTGAGGAAACTGAAGAACTTCAAGACCATTACCCTTGACAGCAATTATGAGGTGAATTAACGGTGCTTTATCCAGACATCTGAAAACCCACTTATTATGTTTTGAGTAGAAGTAAAACTTTTATTGAAAGGTTAAGGTACTTTAGCAAGGTTCCGACACTGAAGGATGTCTAGTCGTGCAGTCCGTCATCCAAAGGCAGGCTGTATAGATGAGGTCTTTGAAAACAACAAAAGAATCGAAATACTTAATTCTGGTTACAATCAGATTTAAGTCAAATCTAATGCTGATTTGAAGTTAACCCTCTTTCTCGTGTATTTCAGTTCATAACTCGCTGAAATCTTATTGTAGAAACATGAAAAAAAAGCTGACTAATTCTGTCGTCTCTTCAAATCATCCATTGTTGGAAGTATTAAAGTTTTTAAAATTAGGTTAAATCGGCAAAAAAGTAAACCATGTCACCTTACTTTGTTTTACCTGCATCGGGGGCGTGTAGTACCGCTCTCACCCGAAGATCGCTATTCACATTCTAAATAGCCGCATTAGCGCGTATTCAGATCGCATTCGCATGGTAATTTGGTGAACAGCGCAACGGTAAAACGCGATCCAGATACATCCCCATCAACACCATAAAAGGGGGTTGGGGACGTGGCCAGATGACAATGGCTCATTCATACACATGAAAGTTGCTACATATTCAATGAAAGGAGCCAGAAATAGTGGCATGAGTTAGGTTTTTCTTATTTATTTATCCAAATTAATGTTGCATCTACACCATTTAGTCATCTTCATGTAGCCAAGACTTTGGTGATCAGATATCTGGGATCAAAACAAACTGCCAGCATTGCTTACTATGTACTTTTATAATGTTTCTGCAAGTGTTCCAAACTGCATTTTGCAATGTCTATACTTTGAATGTCAAATTACAAACTTCACAAAAATCTGACATATTTACAAAATACACTAAAATGAGTTTAATGCCAAAAGAAATATATAAGAAATAATTTATTTGCCATGAATTGTTTGATATTGAATGAAATGTGTGACCATGCCCCAGTCAGTGAAAGCGTGTCCCCTATCCCTAGACCCCAGAGGGTTAAACAGACTGTAGTCTTTGTTACAAACCTCTAATTTTGAAGTTGAACTGCAGTGGAAAATTTACATGAATTACATAAATCCTGCTCAGGTGAAGTCGCTGGTCTTCGACCAGAGTGGCACGTATCTGGCTGTGGGAGGCTCTGACATACGAGTGTACGTCTGCAAACAGTGGTCCGAGGTCCTCAACTTCACCGGTAAGTTGGCCATGAAATGTCGCGGTCCTTGTAACGTTAAAGTTCAGTGCTGCCCAAAACCAGCGTACTGCTTCTGCCGTGGTTCTGACCTTTGACCTTTGTGTGTGCACTTCATTTTCAATTCCAGAGCATTCAGGCCTGGTGACGGGCGTGGCCTTTGGGGAGTATGCCCAGTTCCTCTCTTCTGCTGGGATGGACAGGAGCCTGAAGTTCTACAGCCTGTAAAACTGAAGATTGGATGGAGAGGGCAGGAGTGGCATTTTAAATTGGGGGGGTGGGGTGGGGGGTTCCACAGTAGAGTGATAGTGCATATGAGGTGTGCTGGCAGATATCGTTCTGCTGCAAGCTGAGCCCTCTTTCAGATTAGCTCGTAGTGCAGTGCTTCCCAATCCGGTCCTTGGGGACAGACAGACGGTCCACATTTTTACCGGGAGCTGGGAGGGAGCAAACACGTGGACTGGACTATCTGCTGGTCCCCAAGGAGCGGACTGGGAAACGTTGCCGTAGTGCTTTGGAATTTCATACAAGTGGGTCGTATCACGTTTGCAGTTCTCTAATTTGGCACAACATGGATCTTAGATTATTTTTCCTCTCTGACTGTTGATGCCAGCAAGGGGGATCCACTATTTTGTTTACTTCTGTTTTATCTGCATTTGCTGGTCTCCCCATTTATTTTTCTGTTTTTAATGCCAAGGTAATTGCGTGACCCAAAACCCTTTAGTTATAGGCATGGTGTTCCCGTGTACCATATTTGGCTTGATATACCTTCTGTTCTGTCTTTCTCTTTCTGAAATGATAGCGTATGCTGTATCACTTGTCTGATGGAATCTATTTTGTTTAAAATCGTGGCAACATCTCTAAACCAATGGCATTTTAAATCTTGGTTCTGAATAAAGACATGAATCTTACCTGTATGCCTTTGAGTGCTAATATGGGGTGTTGGGGATAATTCAGAAACCGTAATTGGGCGCTAATGTGCAATTAAAATGCATCGATAGAAAGGCCGTGGTGAGTACCTGGTATGGGATGGGGGGGGAGGTCTCTTCGTACCCCGGACCGGCCGCCGAGGTCACGTGACCCACCGGTGTCACATGACTGCGTGGTGAAACGGGAAGTGCGATGCTCGCGGTTCCTTATCGGCGTCGGTTCTGCTTTCGGCTGTTCCAAGCCGTTGTGCATCAGTCCAGGCTGTTTGTTGCCCAGAAGGGCACCCTGCATTTTTTAAAGAATCGACAATAAGGAGGGTAAGCCGAACCTCGCAAAACTGCTGTAGTGACATGAGCTAAGTCACCACACTGTTTGGAAACGTGTTTGTCTGATAAACTGCGACGTGGTCGTAAGTTTCGTTTTGTGTTCAGTTAAAAATCCTGCGATACATTTTAATCTCGGATAAGTATAACTGCAAGACCATTGTATTATATTTTCAGTTATTAAATCGTCACAAATTCACGTTATGTAGTCTGATGCATTTTGAAAGCTCGTTGGCTTGTTTCGGAATCCTTTCCAGGTCGCTTCTTGTAATAGGTAATAAATGGTCTTTATGTTTTCGTTCCAGTTGTTGTGGTAGTGGGTAGTCCTATTTTTTTGCAAGTCACCAGAAAACAAGCCTTTATTATAAAAGGTGAACGATAACTGCAACGTCTCCGTCCATCCACACGTATAATTAACAATACGCAGATAACGACGTAAATTAAATCAGTGACTTTTCTTTGTATAGGACAGACGGGTAGCTGTTTTTGCTTATCTCTGTTTGCCAGAAGCACGAAACCGCTGACTTATTGGCACATGTTTACAATTAGGCAATGCTAATGGTAGAGCTGTGATAGTACTTAGTAAAGACGGGGACTGCAGATTGTAATGATACATTTGTAATGTTCCAAATGCGTAACTTGTTGCAATTCACGAAAATCGGAGTGTGGTAAATCCTTGAACTGACAGGACGCGTAGGTTTCTGTAAATTCAGTCACGTTAGGGGCTGGCGTCCGGATCGCGTATATCTTGACGTTTTCTGTAAGTGACATGATTTTGGATCCTGTCAACGCTTTACTATCAATAGGGATAACGAAAAACATTTTTACTTAACGCATTCGTTTAATTTCAGATTATTTTTCCTATTCCGTTTTCTACAACGCATTGAAAACTCTTGGCCAGGTTTGTACAGGTCTATAGGATGTGAAGGAGTGTAGCTGGCTGTTTGGCACCGTAATCTGTCAGCTGACTCATTGAGTCACCTTCTGGGAGTGACTCCTGCCTTTGATCTGATCGCTGTTTGCTGTTCTCAAATTTTCCCCTGTATAAAAATAGCTTTGGGGAAGAATGAGAGAGAATCACATGCTAGTTTCTTTTAATTCCCCCTTACCCATGAACTTACCTCAGTTTGTTTCCCTCTCCTTCAGGCTGCAATGGGAGCCCTGTTTCGGAGCGAGGAAGTTTGTCTAGTGCAGCTTTTCCTTCAGTCAGGGTCGGCGTACGACTGCGTCAGTGAGCTGGGAGAGTTGGGGCTGGTCGAATTCAGAGACGTAAGTTCAGAGATTTACTCGCCCAGAATAAATGTGTTCATCGCACCCGGTTCGCAGCCCTGTTTTGATTTGACGTTAATTCTTCTGTGGTGTCTCCATTTTTGGTCACAGCTGAACCCAAACGTCAACGCTTTTCAGAGGAAGTTTGTCGGTGAGGTGAGACGATGCGAGGAGCTGGAGAAAACATTTTGTGAGTTCCTGGGATTCTCCATCTACATTTGTAAAATCGGCAATGCATCTCGCTGTAGCTATAAATGTAGCTTTTGCTGTATTTTATCATTTTCCTCTCTTGGCTACATATTATGCTGCTTCCTGCAGCTTTCCTGGAGCAGGAAATCCACCGGTCGCTCTCGCCTCACCTGGAGGGACGGCTGTCACCACCCTGTCCTGTTCCCTCGGCGCCCCAACCCAAAGAACTGCTGACCATAGAGGAGGAGAGTGAGAGACTGTCTAGAGAGTTAAGAGAGGTTGGGAAAAAGTGCTGAGAGTTCCGGAAATAGGGTTGGAGGTCACCCTCTGAGTCGAATGGTGGTTCAGTGTTTCTCCTTGTGCTGCTGCGTGTCAGGTGTCCCGGAACCGAGACAGTCTCCAGGCCCAGCTGACCCAACTCTGCCAGTACCGGGGGGTTCTGACACAGACACACTCCCTTACTGCCATGCAGGTCAGCATCTACTCAGCTTTACTTGGTGTGTCTGGCTTTCAGTAGAGTCTTACAAGGCCAGTAACAATACCCACATTGCCAGAGCCCAGAAATACCATAGTATTAATTATAGAATGGGAAGTAATAACATGGAAATAGCCGTCCAAGTCATTATGTCCTGTTAGTCAGGTTAGGGAGCAATGTTAATCATTTGTAGCATTTGTGATGCTGTGGAAAGTTCTTGCACTTTAAATTCCAGTGGTGTTTCCCTAGACTGAGTGGTTTACGGAAACTGAAGCTAAGATTTTGGTTTTGATGAGGAAGAACATGTCAAAACTTAGGGGTCAGTCTTGGTGAGCGCTTGGTGAAAAATTAGCTTTTTCATCCTATTTGTGATTCCAAATAAATTTGTTTTATTAATTTAAGTACAGTAAATGGCACAGTACACTGCATTTGAGCGATTAAATGTATTCTAAGCAGTCCTAGTGGTAGTAACGTGTTTTACCTTTACGTTAAAGTGAGGATGCATGGATATACTCCCAGGGGATTGGGGCGGAGCTAAAATACGGACTATCTGGGGGTCCTGAGGACTGGTTTGAGAAATGCTGACCTAGCTGATGTAGACTGGAGCTGAGATATGTCTCTGGTGGAACCTTTGTTGTGCCATCCATCCATCCATTTTCTGCCGCTCATTTGTTGTCGGGTTGCGGGGGCAACAGTCTAAGCAGGGATGCCCAGAACTCCCTCTCAGCAGCCAGCTCCTCCAGCTCCGCCGAGGGATACCAAGGCGTTCCCAGGCCAGCCCAGAGATATAATCCCTCCAGAGTGTCCTGGGTCTCCCCCGGGGCCCGAAACACCTCCCCAGGGAGCCGTCCAGGAGGCATCCTAGATAGATGCCCAAACCACCTCAACTGATGTGCCATGTGGTCAAATTAGCGTCTGTTAGGGTTACCTTGGACTGGCTGCTACTGTGAAAAGCATGTTTAATAAGAACTTTTTATTTTTCTACATTGGGCAACTTGCTGTGTTTGTTTTTAAGGCTCCACCATCCAGCCTAGAGTCGTCTGGCATTTCGGATAATAGACAGGATATTCGACTGAGGTAAGTCAGACTATGATTTTGTCACTCCACAAACTGTCGGCTATGATGCTTTGTTATTCTTCAGTTTCCATGAATATTTCTATTAATTTGATGGTGTATGTAGGGATTGTGTTGATTTTAGTTCTTAAAATATTCCCATAATGCATTACAAGTATATTGCTGCCTGGGGCATTGTGGGAAACGTAGACTTTGTTTCTTTCCTGCCTCTTTTGGCGGCCCATCTTAGACCTGCTTGGTTTTTTCAGTTTTGTTGCTGGTGTTGTCCATCCATGGAAAGTCCCAGCCTTCGAGCGGTTGCTGTGGCGGGCTTGCCGTGGTTACATCATCGTGGAGTTCCAGGAAATGAATGAGAAACTGGAGATGCCTGATTCTGTAAGAAGAAAGCATTTGTCTTTGATTTATTTTAGTGGTGAGATTTTACAATTGTTGCTATTTTCATTTTCAATTATTGCTGGTTATTTAATTTTTTTTTCTCTAATCACAGGGGGAGATGGTGCAGTGGACAGTTTTCCTCATCTCTTATTGGGGAGATCAGATTGGTCAGAAAGTTAAGAAAATCTGTGATTGGTAAGCTTGCAATTGATTGGTGTGTTCTAACTAGGCAAAAATCATGATGCCACAACCATTGTGGAACTGTTGTGGTGGGAATGGAGAATTATAGCAGAAGTCCTGTGTATATGAACCACCTGGTGTTTTTCATCTGTTGTAATCTAGTGTTTGTGTTAGTGTTTCACATAATTTCCTTCTTTTGTCCAAAATGCAGCTTCCACACCCAAACCTTTGTGTACCCAGAAAGTATGACTGAGAGGGAAGATGCCCTCCGTAGGCTGGGAGACCGGATTCATGACATTAAAGTGGTATGAGATGGGAGATCAGGGTCGCTTAAGAGATAATTGTCAAATATAAGCAAAGTACGTTGGATTTTATATCCAGATTGTATACCTGGTTTGGGCTTAGCTTAGTTTATCATCCAGGCTTTTTTTCTGAAACTATGCCAGTGCTGCCTGGATTTTGCAAAAAACTGTTTGTTTTTTTTAAGCCATTGATTGGGCCAAGAAAGAATGGCATTGTAATCTGGCTGGCGCTCCTGCCGGCACTCAGGATCTCCCACCTACACTCCACGCAGGTGCTCTCCCAGACAGAGCAGTACCTTCAGCAGCTGCTGGCACGTGCCGTGGGGGTCCTGCCACAGTGGAAGGTCCAGGTCCAGAAATGCAAAGCGGTTCAGATGGTACTCAACCTGTGCAGCCCGTCTGTCACTGACAAGTGTCTGATCGCGGAGGCCTGGTGCCCCGTCAGCCAGCTGCCAGCCCTGCAGAGCGCCCTCAGGGAAGGCACGGTGAGAGGAGGAAGCGGGGAGCGGGGGGGGGGGGGGTTGTATGCGGTAAGATGGTCGAGGAGTGGGGGAAGATGAGGTGAGAACGAGGAAGGATAGAGGGATATGGTAAGGGAGGAGGTGTTAGAATATCTGTCCACTCTTACAAAACATTCAGACCTACAGAGCATGCCGCAAAGGGGATTGTGGGAAGGCGGAGGAAGTGAAAGAACGGCTCTCTAAGCACTCGTTTACTGAAAGTCACATGGCTCACTGGCTTGCCGCCCCCCTTCCCACCCAGAGGAAGAGCGGTAGCGGTGTCGATTCCTTCTACAACCGGCTGCCGGCCTCCACCTCCCCCCCGACGCTCTTCACCACCAATTCCTTCACCGCTGGGTTCCAGAACATCGTCGACGCTTACGGGGTGGCCATGTACAGGGAGGTCAACCCAGGTATTTAGCGTTTTGTTGCTGGAAGGATTCCAGTTCACTGTCCTTCTACTAGCTCATTACCCGATTGTCAGTGTATGCATCAAGGTGGATAAATAAAGCTACTTATCGACTTATGACAGGGTTACGTACTGAAGGGTGTGCTACCGCCACAACTTTTCCACTTTCTTGCCATTTTTAAGCGATGGTGCAGTACCAAACAAACACAGAAATAAGCACTGCCTGCACTTTTCGTTTGTGCACAATGTCCAAATAATGAACGATATAAACAAAACTGCCAGACAGTATTTTGTTGGGTGTGGCTATATTGTCGCAGCACGTGCTAAGCGGTTGACGTTTGACTGAATGAGTGAGCAAGTTAACGGGATGATGGTTTCATTTTGTGACCTCCCCCACCCACCCCCCCTTTTCCAGCGGTGTACACCATCATTACTTTCCCCTTCCTTTTCGCGGTCATGTTTGGGGACGTGGGTCACGGGTTGCTGATGGCTCTCGCCGCACTCTGGATGGTTCTGGAAGAAAAGGACCCGAAGCTGAGGAACAACACCAATGAGGTCTTTCCTGTTCTTTGGAGCTTGCAGAAGGGAGATCTTGGAGATGCTTTTTCATTTCTGACCTTGTTTACTCCCCGTGGCCTTTCCTCTCTCCCTGTCTTACTGTCCTCGTGTTCAGATCTGGAGGATGATGTTTGGGGGGAGGTACATGATCCTTCTGATGGGTCTCTTCTCCATCTACACCGGCGCCATCTACAACGAGTGCTTCAGTCGAGCCCTCAGCCCCTTCGCGTCCGGCTGGCACATCCAGCCCATGATGCAGCACTATAACTGGAGGTGCTGCTACCTAGTGTCCATCCACCAGTCATCCCTGATGATCACTTTAACTCGCAACATATTTATTTAGCTTTTCTCTAAAGAGAGTGTGTGGAGTAGCAGATACATTAATCAGACAGATCCCAGACACCAGGGTTGTCAACTTCCACACATCTGTCGTGACGCTCATGCTTTCTGACTCTTATGCTCAAGCAAGAGATCTTGCTCATGGTGGTTTTACTTACACAAAAATGTTCTGATGGCAGAACGAAAAACGATTGGTTGAGAGAGAGAACCAATCAGATTGTAGAGGTGGTGGGTCCAAGCAACTAGAGGTGAGACCCACCAGTCAGATGTCTTGGTCCTGTCTCTTCTAGTTGCTTGGACCCACCTCTACAATCTGATTGGTTAGCTCTCTGAACCAATCATTTTTCGTTCTGCCCTCAGAACATTTTTGTGTAAGTAAATTAGCTCCATCAGAAGCTTTGGGAGTAGTTTGCAAGCCCGACATGCTATTTACAAGCTAATAAAACTTTTGCATACATGTAAATGTGTGCAAACTTCTCTCGAATTGGAAATCTCACGCCAACCAGCTGATAAATGTTGACAACCCTGAGGCACAATCATCAAAGTACAACTCTGTTCTGGTACCTGGATTGATTAGCTTGTGAACCGAATACTTCTCTCTTATAGTAAGAAAACACTGCAACAGAACAAGTATCTCACCCTGGACCCTAACGTCACTGGAGTCTTCAAGGGTCCTTATCCCTTTGGCATTGACCCGGTATGCAAATGTCCTTTTTTCATTTTTCTTTTTAAAAAACATGAAATATGAATGAAAATATGAAACATGGTCTTCTAGATCTGGGGGATGGCCAATAATCACCTGACGTTCCTCAACTCCTACAAGATGAAGATGTCGGTGATCATCGGAGTCATCCACATGACCTTCGGAGTTTGCCTGTCCTTCTTCAACTACAAGTTAGTCAGTCTAGTTTCCATATCAGATTTTTAGTTCCTGCATTTATTTCTGCCTGAAAGCTAATGGGTCTGTCTGTCTGTCTCTGTCTGTCTGTCTGTCTCTGTCTGTCTGTCTGTCTCTGTCTGTCTGTCTCTGTCTGTCTGTCTCTGTCTGTCTGTCTCTGTCTCTGTCTGTCTGTCTGTCCTACAGGCACTTTGGGAAGATAAGCAGCATGTTCTTGGTTCTCATCCCGGAGCTCACCTTCATGCTCTGCTTGTTCGGGTACCTCGTCTTCATGGTGGTATATAAGTGGATCATCTACGGGCCAATGAACTCCAATCGAGCCCCAAGCATCCTTATCCACTTCATAGACATGTTCCTTTTTTCTGGCAGCAAGGATAATCCTGACCTATACCAGGGACAGGTGAGAGCATACGTATTCTCAAAAGGTGTTGGTTTTTCCCGCTACCATTGGAGCATATTGACCTGAGGCTGATTGGGTGCGCTTATAAGAAAGAAGGAAAATACAGTATTTAGTTGTGTCCAGATTTCGTCCCGGAAGAGAGGACTTAAGTCAGTCTGGACATTAATCAATTATTATAGGGGAGAGATCAAATATACTGTACAACATAAGATAAATGTCACACACGTGTATAGTGGCTGCGCAGTGGGTTTATTTTGGTTCTTGCTGCGTGTCACATACGTGGTAAAATATGTCTGCTAACATCTACTATGTCTACATCAGACAAGTCTCAATTTTTTTTTAAGGCTATTATGGGATGCAGGTACAATTGAGCGTTACTCTAAGATGCAAATCAGCAGATTACTGTACATGCATGTCCAACTCTTTTGTCATTTTCTCTGGGGAAAAAAGTAATTTTTTATTTCCTTCTCTAGCCGATAGTCCAGAAGGTTCTTGTGATCTTGGCGCTGATTTCAGTTCCAGTTTTATTATTGGGAAAACCAATCCATCTTTACTGCACGCACAAAAAAAAGCAACACAGAACAGTAAGTGCTTTTATTGAGCAAATACATTCCTAGCAATTTAACACGTCTGAAACACCTGACTTGACCATTTCAAATATCTGTGTCTTTTGGCATGATTGTCTGTCTTAGGAAGACCAGAGGCCATTAATAGTAGACAGTAATTCCGTCAATAGCATACAAGGGGACCTGGAAGCAGGAGAACAGGATGAGGAAGAGGTGAGAGGATCAATATAAGTGATCTGACTGGTGATAGACTGAGGAAACCAAACGAAAAATTCTGCTCCCAAATCTCCCTACTTTCTGCAAGGAAGAATGAGTTGTCAACAGTTGCATTTATTTGTTTACAGTAATTTGGATTAATTTGAGTAGGTATTGACCAATTGAACCTGTCATGTTTAGATGCTGAGAATACAATGTTGAGGAAAAACATGAATGGAAATAGCATAGATCTGTCTTCTGTTTTTTTTTTTTTTCCTTCCTCATGCTCCAGGAGTTCGACATGCCAAATGTGTTCATGCACCAGGCCATCCATACCATTGAGTACTGTCTTGGGTGCATCTCTAATACTGCCTCTTATCTGAGGCTGTGGGCCCTCAGCCTCGCACATGCGCGTGAGTATCCAAGGCAACAGCCCACCAGCCTCTCTCCACTTGCCTGCAAGTTCTTCTTTGTGGACCTACACTGTTCAGGGTTCATACACTTTTGAGCAACAAATTTCCGTGACATTTTTCTGACTTCTCCGGGACTTCAAGCTAAATTTCCTAGATTGGATTCAAAGAAAGTTTTTTTTTTTTTTGTTCAACCCATTCCGGAAAAGTGTCCCAAGTTCTGCGATCATCGCATGACACCATTGCACACATATTTTGTGTAGAGGAACCAGCTGCCTTGACCTTTCATTCATCCTTTAGATATGGATGTACCTTCCATTGCATATAATTTTACAGACATGAATGTTGCTTTTTTTGGTTCAGACACACTATTAAGAAAGTTTCATAGTTCAATTTACAAATCTGGTCTGATAATGGTGAGCCGAGCAATTATTAACCACACTAGACTATCTGTTCTAGCTATCAGATAGTCACAAATTAATTTTTTATTATAGCAAATGTAAGTAACAATAATTAGTGAATTGTACAAGTTAGTGCTATAAGACAAATTATATGTGCTGTCATAATTACCTTAACGTGACACAAGCGTGATACAAGTGTCAAAAGTAAGAGCAAAATAGTTCACTTGAAATGTACCCAACATGTTATAGAATGTGTAAAGTTCATATATCGAACTTTATTTAAAAAATAATAATATTGATAACGCCATAAACAATGACACAGTGCATGTCGCATGTAAAAATGTAGGAAGGAAGGTGTTTGGGTATGTGGCAGCTGTTAGCACCTGCGTGGAATTATAAGCTAGAAATGACTTTTTGTTAGGAACACATTTAAAATATAAAAGTAAACACTATCTGTAAACACTTAAATGGCACCAATGTCTTTACTTTTATACTGTCTGATACTTGAAGTTGAACTTTACACATTCTTTATCAAAGTGTTTATTTGCGAAGGGCTCATTGGCATGTTGGAACATCAGACGATTGCACGCTCATGTCTTTCTCCTGTACCGTCTTATATTTGGACTTCATATGGTCTTTCCACATTCTACTCTTAAGTTAATCTTTATTATATATAAAAATATTTTCTTATCCAGACAATCACACAAAATGTATGACGTTGACACAACACACACACACACACACACACACACACACACACCTGTTTTTTGTTACAGCATCTAATATTTCAACTTTACAGTCTGTAACATGTTGGGCACCCTTCAAGATAACATTATTGCATTGTTTTGTGACACATTTATGTGCATATATCGCGTTTGTCACGTCAGAACAATTACAATGAAATTCAGAAATAATCTGTTTTAGCATAAACTTCAACTTAATGGTAAATTGACATAGATTGTTACCTTTTACTTTGCTTGTTCCAATTTAGACATTATTTTGCATATCAGACAAAACAAACCTGTTCGTTGAAATTTTCACAAATTGAGTTTGTCGTTTTGATTAAAAGGCTAAATGTCATCTTATGGTAATAACTTGAAAATATAACACATGATGCGTTACATACTAAACTCTTCACCCTTGAATTGAAAAGTTTTAGTATTTAGCACTGAAAGACCTTTTTCCCCCACACTTGTACTGTGTTGTACTGTGTTAACATGGTTAAAAAAAAGAAATAAAAAAATTTAAATGCGTATTTTGATGCCACTTAAATGGGCTCCGTAGGAAGGTGCCGTGTTGAGACATATTGAGGGGGAAAATGCTGTATTGAGACGTATTTTCTCTCGTTTTCCCTCTCCACAGCATTCCATTCTCATGACCTGCACAGATAAAGATCCAGATACTACTTGAGACTGGATCATATTGCGACTGTTGATTTTAAAATACACGTAGTTCCCAAAAATCCCATGACATTTCCCACCTTGATTTTCTTTTAACTTTCCTTAACTTTTTTCCAGGTCTGGAAAACGTGATTTCTTAATTGCATGATTTTTTTCCAGGATATGCATGACCGTATGAACCCTGCCATTGTACATTTTGGTTGGGTCATTATTTGTTTGTGTTCTTTACTTTGTGCATCATATTGTCATGTGGACCTTCTGGGCCTTTTTGTGTTTTTTCCCCCCAGAGCTCTCGGAGGTGCTGTGGTCGATGGTGATGCATATGTCTTTTTCCTCAAAGAGTTACGTGGGCTCTGTGACCATGGCTGTGATTTTCGCTTTTTTCGCCGTGTTAACGGTCTCCATCCTGTTGGTCATGGAGGGGCTCTCAGCCTTTTTGCACGCCCTTCGTTTGCACTGGTGAGAGGCTGAACACTTGATTATATAACAATAGCATTAGCATGGTTAAAAGTTTAAGTTGGCGCATGGGTGTGTCATGGGTCAAACTGATGCACTATGATTGGCAGATCAGAAACCAATCGGATAGCTAGTGACCCAAAGGTCAGAAGCCTTTTTTTAATGGAGTAGTGTCTGTTTCAGGTTAGTTTTAGCAGTACCTTCCTTATGAAACTCAGGCATTCTTTTTAGCTGTGTTTGACATTTCTGATCCTGAAATTGACAAAACTCCTTTTTTTTCCCCAGGGTGGAATTTCAGAACAAGTTCTACAGTGGAACAGGCTATAAGCTCAGTCCTTTTGATTTTACATCCATTATTAATGCTTCTTTACCAAATTAATGATTATCAATTTAAATTCAGTAGTTTTTTTTTAATTTATGGATTATGTGCCACCTTCAACCAAATTTAACATTTTTTTCCCGTTGTAAAATGAACTTTTGTACTCTGTGCAAATGGTATAACAAGAATATAGTACTTTGATTATTTTAATTATTTTCAATTATTTTACGGAAGTATTTGCTAAGATAGAGCTATGCAGTCCTAGACATCTAGGTCATAGTTCTGTGGGTTTTAAAGTTTCCTGTCAATTATCTACTGAATTGTCAACAACTGAAACATCACAAAGTAATAAACTAACACAACCATTAAGCAACCAAGAGGAGACACAACTCTGTACATCTTGGACCTATCAGGGAGTTGACATTGCTTCTGGAAGACCTGTATTTGCATTGTACAGTTTACATATTTGAGTGGAATTGACATTAAACATACTAATACCACAGTGTGATGTTTTTTCAGCATGGAGTGTTTGTGTGAAGTATGTCTGACTTTGGAAAATATAAATTTTTGTGAGCCTTACTGGATCCACAGACAGACATCAAAACAAGTACAATATGTTAATTCTAGGATACATGCACTGCCCTGGAGTAGCCAGGGCGGTGAAATCGGACTGAATGAATTCCATTTCGGTTTAATGATGGAAGTACTTCTGGGGGGGTCATGGGTGGGAACACATTGTACATGTACATCTTAGATGTGATGTGCTGTGATCCCAGAAGTCTTTGCCCCAAATGAAAAGAACTTAAATACTGTTTGATGAGTTGGACTTGGTTGAAAAATTGGCCCTGGGCATTGGGGTCCCCCAAAGTAAATTTTGATTGGGGGAGGGGGGCACAATAATTGTTGCCGGCTCAGATACCCATTGGCCTGCCAGGAAAAGGTCTGCTATTCTAAATGGCCAGTCATTCAGTAATTTTAACATAACTGGTGTTGTGTTCATTTATTGTTCACTTTACAGTAGAAGAAATTGGTTGATGTCAAATTATATATACTGGTATTTGTACATCGTTACACCAGTGGGTGGCGAAAGTGGGCAGCTCGACTCTAAACTAAAATGAATAACATGAAATATGATGCCTTCCCTAAGTGAATAAATAATTTCAGTGACCACTTAATGAAATACAGTTTAATTAACCATAAAATTCTAGGCCCCCCACACACGTGTTATAAAGGATTATGTTTTCCATCTCCACATGCCATCGCTGGTTGCTAAGACTAGGGTGAGAAACGCGATTATATGCTTCTGGAGTACTTGCGTGGTCCAGCAAACCGGAAGCGGAAATAGATGCGGGTGCGTCCTGAAACATGGCGCTGCCCTTAGAACTGTAGCGAAGCGCATTTATACTCTGTAGAATGTCACTTCAGCGCCTCGTTTTGCCTAATCGCTTTAGGAAATCGGGAATTTTATCATAAATTATATAATCACATTATATTCAACCATGGCGGCGGTGTTGGGAGATTTGTGGCGTAACGTCCGTGTGCTGCTGGGTCAAATACAAAGGCAAGCACTGAGCCCAGCGTTCAGCAACACAATTAACGGACCCTTTACGAAATCGGGTAAGTTTACCAGGTATCAGCATGATAGGAAATCTTATCTGCTTGGTTTGTTTTGTTAACCAGTTGTAAAAGAATGCGTGTATTGCAGTCTAGTGGAAATCTGAGTATTGCAAACAGTTGTCGACACCATTCCTTATTCCCCAGCGCGCTGCATGAATCAGGCTGCCCCCCAGCTTCAGCCCCAATCGGACCGAAATGACAACGAAGATATAAGCAAGGAGTTTGTCAACAGGAATCCCCGAAATCTGGAACAGATGGCTTTAGCAGTAAAGGACAGAGGCTGGGGGACTGTGTGGCCATCAAACCAGTACTACCACAGGTACAATTCGTGGTTTTATAGTAACAGCAACGCTACTTCCCACTTTAGAGAGGGATGCTTTCTGTGAAATTGGCTGTACTTAAAGAGAAAACACTGCTGATTCGGAAAGTATGTGAATGCTTTATGGTGGACGTGTTCAAAACACAGATGTTTAGAGGTGATGTAAATAGCACTAAGCCGAGAAAGATGTTATTGTTTTAGATTAAACTGCTTGAAGAGAGGCACCTGAAATCTGAAATCTTTAACATTACATTAAGGCCACTTGTACACTTGTCAGTAGCTCCTATAATTCTTAAGGTCTTTGGCTTTGGATGCAAGTTTAACACTACAGTAGGGCCCTGTAGGACAAACACTCTTCACATATCAAGTTATAGAAATGGATAAAGTGTATGCCATAATATTATGAGCTTCTCCTTAAATGTGCAAGTTCTTGTTTTTCCAAGTCCCGCAGTGTGATTGAAATAGCATTTTTGCCTATTTTCACTTGTATTTCCTAAAATTGACAATGATTAGACATGTTAAAATTGGAATATTCACAGCCACACTAGAACTTAAAAACTCTACTGCTCTGAGAGACACTCTGTATGTGTGGACTTCCAAAATAATCAAGTTGTCCATTTTTATCTCTTCTTGACAAAACAGCTCACATCTATTTGGGAGGAATTTGTCAGAATGGCATTTTTAATTATCAAGATCCAAGGCAGCACAGTGACCTACTGAGATATTTCCCTCTCAATGTGTTTAATTGTTCTGAAACAGCTGTCACCCTGACTGTCAGTCCCTCTGCTCTATAGTTCCTAGACTGTAAGGGGCCCGGCGTGCGACCCAGTGCTAATCAGTGTGATTATTTTGCATGTTTTCACTCCTAGGCTGGTATTCATACGCTCTCAGAACTACATCACAGCAGAAATCTTCGCCCCTCACTCCTCCTCCCCAGTGCTGTCTTGCTCCAGCAAGGAGTGGGCCCTGAAACGGGAGCTGGCCTCCACAAACTCAGTGTCGGCAAGCCAGGCGGTGGGGGAGGTTCTGGCCCAGCGCTGCCGCGAGGCCGGCCTCCTCAGGCTCACCTTCAGGGTCGTCCCGTGGACTTTCCGCTCAGAATCTGTGAGTCCTGTGCCGTTCTCGGGCTGAAATGTGGCGGGGTGAGGCTCTGTGGCTTCACGCCCAGAAGGTCGCAGGTTCAGATCCTTATGGCCGGCTGGGTGATGTCACTGTTGAACCCTTGACTAAGGCCCTTAATCCCTATTAGAGTGCTGCATGGGTTTGGATACCCACGGGTGCCCGACAGGTAAAGCCAGAAATTGAGAAGGAACAGGAGAAAAGTGTCACTAAAATTTAATTTGTGGGTATGGGTGTAGGCGGAAATTGATAGGGTGCCGGTGGACCACAGTTCTAAATGGCAAACGTATTAAAAATAAGCAGACTACAATTTTACGTTTAAAAAAAAATACATATAACACTTGTGGGTACCCGAACCCGTGCAGGACTCTGATCCCTGTTGCTTCCAGGACTAACTAATCCTGCTCTTCGATCCTCACGTGCACATAGCTTTGGATAAAAGCACCTTCCTCTACTTATTTCCAAAAAGCAGCCTCAGCTTGTATGAATTACAGGGAAAGTCAGAAAAACTTTTATTACACATTTCCTTAACAGGCAGGATAAAACACACAAAAAAATGTGATCCTTGACCTGAATAAGTTACGGACTTCAGATTTTTGAAATTACGACGATTCTGGCAGCGGTGTGCATTCCTGAAATACGTTTCCCCCGGTATGTTTATCTCAGGTAAAAAAGTTCAGAGTGGCCATGAAAGGAGGAGGAATCAAACTCTGCGAACCACGAAGGAAATACGTCGGCTGAGAACCAGAGGTGGTTCATCGGTTCCACCGTCTCACTGGATAAATGTCCCTTTGCTGATCACTGTGCCTGTACGTGTTGCTTTAAATAAAACGTGTAAGATCTCTATGTTCACGTTACTAGATTTTGGTTTTTTTGCCTTAAGGGGACACAGGCTACTTGGACACACAGGTCCATCTTTCCATTTTCTGTGACTGCTCATCCTGTTTTCCAGGGAACAACCCAGGGTGGGGCACCAACCCATCACATGGTGCACACACACCATTCACACCTATGTATGTTTTTGGACAGTGGGGGGGGAAAACCAGAGTACCCGAAAGAAACCCCATGATGGCAGAGGGAGAACATGTAAACTGCACACCCAGGGAGCCAGGGTGGAAACTCGAACCCAGGTCCCAGAGGTGTGAGGTGACAGTGCTGACCACTGCACCGCCAAGCCGCCCCACAGCGCTCCAAACTGTTCAAATCAGATTTGCGTTACATTAATGTGGTCGTAGATTGTATATGTACTCAATTCGTAGGCATGCAACATGAATGAGAACAGTCAGATCAAAATGTTTTTTTTTTTTTGTATATATGCATGTGCTGAGCATTTTTTTTTGTTGGTGACGCAGATTTACAAAGATGTATCGATTCACATTACAATTAGATACAGGTCACTTGTAAGTATTAAGAACGTGAACCATCAAGTTAGGCAAATCCGATCGGAGCAAAAACATCCATAATCCTGAGGCATGAAGTTGTTGATCTGTACATCAGCATTTTTGTTTGACTGGTAGGAAGTACATAAATCACTGTAAACATTTGTGATTTACTGCACATATTATTCAATGAGAGCCGAGAATTTGAAGAGTCATTCAGTATCACAAAATGGAAAACAAACGGGTCATCGAGTTGTCTGAGCCAATGCAGTTCAGAATTGATTGATCATCTTTGGTTTGTTCAATTTTGATTTGACTTGATTTTTTTCTTAAGTTCATCCGGCAGATCACGACAGGCCCATATCCACACTGGAGTCAATTCTGTAATGTTCACAGATATACAATGAAACCCCATTCATTCATACATACAGTTCATAACAGACAGACATTAAACAAATACATTACAAGGTACTGAACTCTCAGGAAGGCACAGTGACAAATACTGAAAATGATAAGCCGTCACCTCACAACCCCTTTCTAACACTAATAATAATATACATCTAGGGCCATATGATGATCACTGTTTTTGTTCAAGGCATTGCTAGATCCTAGGTATAAAAATATAAAATACATATCCGTGACTTAATCCAATTTTTTCATGGATATACAAATTTGTAGCGTTACAATAAAATATGTTCTTAGTGTGGTGAATAATAAGTTCAAAATATAGCCAAACAGTGCATTTCCATTCAGACATCAGCATGCTGGCAGACATCGCACTAGTGACACAGCAAGTGCAGAACAGAATGATCCACCCACTTGGAGGGCTTCGCAATACAGTAAAGTGAACTAATAATGTCTGGCCCTGAAAACGCTCCAGCACCTGCATAGTTTCACATTTGCAGAACTAAAAGACAGCTTAAAACAATGGATTGCATAGAACACCTAGAGAGAGACTACCAAGAAAGTGTGTGCAAATGCTTGTGCAAAAATAGATCTTGTCCAAACTACTTGTTTTAAAATACTAAAATATTACCTCGCCATATTTAATCCCTGCAAACGAATGCTACTGACTGGTCCTATTTGGATGAGGAAAATACCCATAATGGATGATTTCTTGACAGTCACATGACTGAGAGGGGTGTTTGAACACACACACACACACACACACACACACACACCTAAGTGTCTGCTCAAAATTAGTACTGACAATTATGGGATGCACCGTGATTTTTATATATACTTATATAAAAAGTGGCATTAAAAACAAAACAAGGTTTTATAGATAAACCTTCCTTGTTTAAGTTTTCCAATATTGATACTTGGTCATAGTTTGTCATTTAGCTATAGTTTTGTAAAATACTACATTAATGAACTTCCGGGTTCATTCTGTGACCGGAAGCAGTGAAAAGTTGGATGGCTTCAAAAACTCGCAGTCATTTATATACATATACTTGTTGGCAAAATATTCTCTCTCTCTCTCTCTCTTTCTCTCTCACTCTCTCACACACACACTCTGCTTTTTCCTGAGCTCTCATTTCATATTTTACTCTCCACATCCTCCCTCAGTTCCACTCTCCTCTTCCTTTGTTTCAGTCTTGGGTACAGCTGACCCCGCCCCTTCCGCCTCCAAGGTCCTATCACCACGCAGGCTGCGTGGCTCTGGAGACACATCCACGTGAGCTTTCTGATGAATAAGGCTCCTTCTCCCCAGGCTCCGCCTCCTCTGCTCAGGTGACCTCCAGTGACTGGCAGCCATCTGCACCAATGGCAGACCAATACAGTGCGGACATCAAAGACAGCACAAAAACAATGAGAGGCGTGTGCTGTAGTGGCCTTTCTTTCTGTTGTTTTAGTGACACGGGCTCATTTTTCTCACCTCCTTGTCGTTGCCCCTCTCCTCGTCCTCATCCAGTTCACAGATTGATTGCATGAGGGAAAAGAGATTCATCCTTCCACTGCGACTCGGACTCTGGGAAACCTGATGGATGGGGAGATTGAAAAGTTGATTAGTCAATAACTGTTGATAAGTTTGAGCAAGTTCAAACCTACATCCAGTTATAGCAGCAAAATAAACTGCAAAGTTAAACTGCTTTGTTCTCAAAAAACTAGGGATGGGCAATACATCAAAAATATCATATAGCAATTTTTTTCCAGACAGGATCACGATCTGCGAACTTATCCCAATTCTGTTGCATGTTCATTTTTAAGACTATTTTGCAAGACACTAAAAAGTACAACCAAAACTAATTCTTATTTTTAAAAAGATGAGATATAAGGTAATAATAATTGATTAACTGACATCAATATGTAACAAAATTTAACAAAACCTAAAATCAAAAACAGCAGAGCTTGTCAGCAGATTCTTTCGGGTGTTGTTGAGGTGCTTAAAAAAGTTTGTGTTACCTTCCAACCTGTAAGCCTTATTTTTGCAAATTCTGCAAATAAGTGTTGATTTGCGAAAATATAAACAAGGTACATGTTACTGGTATCAATTCTTTTTCAGGGACGAGCTCCTCCATATTGTCTGGGATGGTACGTTGCCGAAGAGGGAATATGTTGCATGTTACACATTGCATGTTGGGATGAAGGCGCATATTTTAATTAACGGTTTATTGCGGTGTCGAAAAGAACTAGGCTGACAAAACAACATATGATGTGTGTATGAGGAATGGAGGAAGTCTTCACGATTCTCATCCCCGGAAGAGTCAAAACCGTCAGAGAGCTAACAGGGTCAGGCCTGCTGAGGATCAGGGCTGGTGTGGTGCTGAGGTGTCACCTGCTGCATGGCGGCACTTGGGTCCTATTTTGAGGTGGCCCATCTGGGTACGTTGCCCATGGGTCTGGAGACTGGGGTGTGAGTGGCTCCATGTTCCTTGACTTTGTGAAAGGTCAGGGGGTGTGGGTCACTGGATCCTAGTTCTAACACCCTGAGCTGCATCATTGGACTTGGTACTCCGATACTGGTGGTGCGGCGAAGGAGATCGATCACATCCTCGTGGGCAGACACTGGAGGCTCCTGCAGATCTGTAGGGTCTACAGAAGTGCCCAGTTTGTGGATTCTGATCTTCTACTCTGAAGATTCAGCTTAGATCCAGTACGCTACCACCTACTAGGGGAATGAGGCTGGACTTGGCCAGATCCCAAGATCAAGCTGTTTCTGATGAGTCTGCACACAGTTTGTGTGAGGAACTTGCAGATGTGGGTGCTACTGCTGACTCTAATGTGATGTGGGAGACCTTCTGTGAAGGTTGCCGCGGGTTGTGTTGGTGTTGCCAGTGTTCCCAGAAGAAGGTGTTTCATCTCACAGGGCACCCTGGATATTACTGAGAGGAGTCATGGTGCATGATTTGGTGGCGACTCCAATCTGTACTGGGAACTGAGGAGGACGGCTATGACGGCTCTGATGCCTGATAAGGAGGCCTTAGGAAGTTAGATGAATCTGAGAGCAGGTGACACACCATCTATGGTCTAGTGACCCACATCCTGCTTACAGAGGAATCGAAGCATTATGCACATCTTAATCTGTTCCTCGGAGGCTTGCAGTCAGGGGGGGTGATGGAACGATCCTTACGGATGACACTGCAGTTGTGACCCGCTGGGCTACTTTGAGCAGTTGTTTAAAGCTTATCCTCTGGGTAAGACGTTGGACATCTCTGGGTCCACAGTTCTCGAGCTGATCCTCCAATCAGCTGTGAACCACCCAATCTCACTGAGATTGCATGGGTGGTGATTCAGCTGGGGGTAGGGAAGGCTGCAGGGATCTGTGGTATCCGGGGTGAAGTTCTCCAGGCTGGTGGTAAGGCTGTCCTCCTGTCATTGCAGGCAATCTTTGCCTCCATTTAGGAGTCAGGCCTCATCCCAATTGACTGGAAAATGGGACTTGTAGTCCCTATCTGGAAAGGGAAGGGTGACTGTCTGGGATGCGGCAGCTACAGGGGGATAACACTGCTTTCAGTGCTGGGTAAGGTCCTTGCTAGGGTCATCCTTAACAGGATCCGTGATCACTTGCTATCAGCGAATGGAGCAGTCTGGTTTTACGCCTAAGAAGTCTACCATCAACCATATCCTTGCACAGGGTTCTCATCGAGTGCAAGCCCGAATATTGGTTCTTTGCAGCCTTTGTCGATTTTTGTAAAGCGTTTGAATCAGTTGATTGAGTTGCCCTGAGGGACATCCTGAGGGACATCCTGAGGGACATCCTTTGCGGGATTCCCCTGAAGTTGCTGGACGTCATGGCTGGCCTGTACACTGGTACTGCGAATGCTGTGCAGAGTGGAGGGAGAACCTCTGTGTTCTTCCCAGTTGGGTTCTGGGGTTCTCCAGGGGTGTGTTCTTACTCTTACTCTGTTCAATGCTTGTATGGACTGGATGTTGGGCAGGGTCCTGGGGTCCAGCGGTTGTGGGGCATCTGTTGGTGAAGAATGATTTACTGATCTTGACTTTGCCAACGATGCTGTGATCTTAGCGGAGTCAATGGAGGCTCTGATTGGGGCTCTCGAGAGACTGAGCGAGGAGTCTGAGTGTCTGGGATTGTGAGTGTCCTGGATAAAGACCAAGACCAAGATCCGAGCCTTTTATGACTTCTTAGGCACAGCCATCAGTAGTGTATTTGTCTGCGGAGAGAATGTCGACCTTGTTGAGAGATTTAGTGACATTAGTGTTTCTGGTGACTCTTCCTATGAAGTCAGCAGACCGATTGGGAGAGCATGGGGGCGTCATGAGGTCGCTGGAAAGGGGTGTGTGACGCTCTCGATATCATTGCAAGAGGACGAAGGTCCAAGTCTTCAGAGTCCTGGTGCTCCCTGTCTTGCTGTATGTCTGTGAGACATGGACACTACCCAGTGAACTGAGATGAAGACTGGACTCCTTCAGAACGGTGTCACTTCAGAGAATCCTTGGGTACCGCTGGTTTGACTTTGTGTCGAATGAGCGGTTGCTAGAGGAGTCCAGAATGAGGCGTTGTGCAGGAGCGTCAGTTATGGCACTACGGCCATGTGGCGTGTTTCCCTGAGGGTGATCCGGCTCAGAGAATCCTCATCGCTGAGGACCCGAGCAGCTGGAGCAGGCCAAGGGGACACCCACGTAACACCTGGCTGTGGCAGATGGATGGAACTGGACCAGGTGTCTGTCGGGGGGGTCGCCAGCCGGGATCCTGAGGCGTTTTGCCGTGTGGTACATCAGCATATGCTCCCCAACCTGACATCTAACATCGCCAAATTACACACCCCTAAAATAAGGTATTTCAATTTAAACTTGACAGACCATTTCAGCTCACGAGTTAATTCGGAATGACTTTAAGGAAGCACCACAAAGGAGGGGCAGGCACTTACAGAAATAAACAAGTGCACATTTAAGGGGTAAGATGCACCCACCTTGTCACCATCTGGGACAGTGGTGTGATGGGTGGATCTTTCAGACTCCTGGGATGGACAGGGGGTGTCAGGTGGGGAAGGGGGCAGAGAGCTGTCTGCTAATGGATCCGCAGAACCTTCAATGAACACCTAAAGGAAGAAGCAGACATGGGTCAGGGGAGGAGCTGGCTTGTCTTGAACTTGCAGAAAAATGCTTTTAAGCCAACAGTGATGAGAAGAAAAGCGAGATTTACAGAAAGGGAGCGATAATAGTACAACTTTTATTCTGCAGTGCAGCCTCACATCGCCTGCTAAGGGATGCGCTTTTACTCCATTATGTGAAGAACGAAAGGAAATTAAATAAAAACCAGCCATACTCAAGGGTCAGTTTTACACTAAGCCTGCTGAATGCATCTGAGAGTAAATTGCACTTTTATTCATTCCCCGCCTTACCTCTGCCTCGTCTTCATCAATCTCTTCATCCTCTAGAGACCTGTCATCTTCATCCTCCTGCTCTTCATTACTGCCTTCTTCGTGGCTGTGCCTTGACTTCCGCTTCCACAGGAGGTTGTGACGCTGCTGACTAAGAGGCAGAGAGACACCGTGATAGACACACGAGTAGATGAATACGCCTGCTGGCCAAAAGTGCAAGTGAAATGCACCTTCTCAGTGAGACGGGCACAGCGCCAGTCAAAAGTCTGGACACACCAGGTCGCCTCCGAAGGAGGGTGGAAATGTCACATCACATGACCACCTGACCGAAACCCAGTAGACATGATTAAGGAGTAGTTTGGCCAGAGTGTGAATGCAAAGCGGCCAGTGAGCGCTTAGAATATGTGGCACCTCCTTCAGGACAGCTGGAGAGCCCCTTGTTGGTGCAGGGGTATGATTACTGCTTGTGGGGCAAGAGGTCCTGGGTTTGAATCCCAGGCAACCACGTTCCCAATGTAGTATAACTGTGGGCAGTGGTGGCTTAGGGAAGTACATTTGTAATTAAAAGATTGCAGGTTCGAATCCCTGACTAGCAAGGCACCACTGAGGTACCCTAAGCAAGGTACTGCCCCCACGCACTGCTCCCCGGGCGCTGAATTAGCTGCCCCCTGCTGTCACATATGGGTTAAATGCAGAGAACACATTTCGTTGTTGTGTACTGTGGCGTGTCAACACTGATCACCAAATTCAAATTCTGAAAAGCATCCCAGGAGGCCACCTGATGAAACTGGCATATAGGAGACAGTCGGGTAAATCAGTCCCTGGAGCAACTGGGGTTAAGGGCCTTACTGACCCAGGGTATTGAACTAACAACCTTCTCAGTCCCAACCCACAAAGCTGCCACCCCCAACCTCACAAGGGAAAAAAATTTTTTTGTCAGTGTAAAACCCATGTTATTTTATAGTTTTCATGACTTTATAACTATTCAAATAAGCCATACGGGTAGGTGTGTCCAAAGTTTTGACTGGTACTGTATGTAATTTTATCTGTCTGTAGACTAAAATATGAAGTCATTTACATGTTGATTCTGAAGTATACCTAAAGGCAGAGTCTAACAGATTGGCACCCATCCAAAAACAGAACTTTGAATTTTCTATAGACCATATAAAAATTTTCCTAAATTTGAAGGTTTCTATTGCTCTCCTGTACATAACTTTTCCAGAATAAGCAAAAAAAAAAAAAAAAAACCAACTAGTCAATAAAAATTCAACCCCAATGCACTTAAGGTTTCACACCATGCAGAACATGCTTAGCGCAGACAGTCAGGAGCCATGTGAATGCGGGGTTGGCATGGGTACCTGGCACTCAGGATGCCGTTGTAGGTGTGCAGCTGCTTCATGAATCCCTCGTTGGGTTTGACGATGGACCGCCTCTCCCGTACGTGGCCCAGAGCCATGTCCAGTGGCCACTGGTACTGCTTCATGGCGAAAGCCATCACCGTGGAGGCTGACCGGCTCACGCCCATCTTACAGTGGACCAGGACGGCCTGGCCGCTCTGCCTGGGAGTGACAAGGTCACCACATGACTGCCGAACTCACCAATCACAACACTCATGGCCAGAAACTGGCTACATATTGGTAGAAGAATGGAAGATTTCATCTCACTGTACATTAAGAGCTATGCAATGCTAATTTTATCCTACAATAGACTGTTTTACTAGACTTGTGTGGAAAATAGAGGAAAAACCCCAAAGCAAGCAGAGGAAGTACCTAGCTTTGTTGATAAACGTGTAAGTGTTATTCCAGTGAGAGAGGAGATCCGTTGACTCCACGTCATACACCCGGATATTCATGTAGGTGAAGGATTCTGGGAAAAAGTTGTCTATCTCCATGGTCACATTCAAGATGTAGCCAACACTGTCGAAAGTGAAACCGCAATGGAAAGTGTAAACCATAATACTTCACACACATTTCAAACAGTGTAATGTTGTAACAATTTACCTAATGACACTGCATGTCTCACATGCTACATCAGTGATTCTCAAACCGTTTCGGTCACGACCCCTTTAGAAACAGCTGATCTTTCATCGCCTCCCCACATACCCACCGTACCTGTACAATTTTTCGGATCAGTCTCTCCTAGCAGTGTAATCCGCTGATTCATGAGAAACTGTCAGATAACTTAACAGTCATCTCTGGCATTAGAAAGTTGCCTCCACCCTTTACCTGGCTGGTTTCTGGTCTTTCCCAGTGTCTCCCGCTTCACTTTGTTCTTGTGTCCTGCTGTCTTAAAAATTTTGAACCTGGAAGCAACCTGCTGCTTCTTAGCGTAGGCCTCTGCCAGAAGAACCATGGATTTAAAACTGCAGATTTGTTTAAAAATATAAAGTGGTCTCTTCATCTTTTTCTGCGGCTGTAGGTTTGTGTGTGTGTGTGTGTGTGTGTGTGTGTGTGTGTATACATGAACACATGTTCATGTGATACTTCGTGTTTGTTTTGCTGTCTGAAAGAAAAAACCCCAAAGTAGTATTTGCTATTGCTCCCACTTGAAAAACACATTCATTTGGTTCCGCTCCGAGCGCGTGAGCAGGACGGAGCGCGAAATGATGTTGGTCGGAGTGGGAGTGAGCAGCGGAGCGGCATATCTGAATAAAATTGGAGCATCCCCTTATCTCTCACTCCATCTCACTCCACTTTCACAGGATTCCTAACTCTCACGCATCTGGCGTGACGCACAAGAAATTTTACAGCAAATCTACAGTATTCCACCATAATCCTAATATTAGCCACATCAAAAGCATTGGGGTAATTTGCAAACCCTTTAGTCTATTTACATGGCAATAAAACTATTACATACATGCAAATGCATGCGCAGATTTGTCTTGATTTGAAAATCGCACGCCAGCCAGCTGACCGAACTTTGCAACCCACTGACATCTTGAAATAAATAATTTCTTCTTGAATGTAGATTTGGCTGGTCAGTTATTTTGATGCCAGGCTACAGGTTAAGCTAAAATTAAAATACAATGCAGATTGTTTTCTTTTTTTGGAGCTAGCGATGCGATTTCATTGTAGTGGGGAGCGATAATGAGCGGAGCGGGGAGCGATAATGAGCGGAGCGGGGAGCAATAATGAGCGGAGCGGGGAGGGATAATGAGTGGAGCAGTCATCGCTCCGTTCCACTTCCATGCTCTGGTTCCACTACACGTTTTAGCCCACTCTCTACCTGGGATTTGTTGTGCTTCGTGCCCCCCCCCCCAGTAAATGACATAATTTGCCATTCAGAGGCCACATTACCCCAGTGATGCAAGAGATGAGATCATTTACAGCAAAGGAACGGCCACAGAAGGAATTAGTATGACACGAAACACAAGAGGCAACAGAAAGTTATGTTCTTATGTTCTTAAAGCAGGAAAGTTGGTGAATCGGGATTACTTGTTTTTTTGCAGTTCTTCAAAATTGGCCGCATTCCACTCTGAGCCCTTAAAAACAACAAAATCAAATTAATTGATTTATCTCTATCGATCCCACGACTCAGAGCTACCATGCCCTGTAACTGATAAACACAGACAAAATTAAATCATCTCTCACACACACAAAAATCAAGATACCATGGATTACAAGATGCGGCAAAAACTGCTGCTCCAATAAGAGCTGTCACGGCTGAGACGGTAATGAACTGCCAGTGCTTAAGAAAGAATTCCACTCATATCTGTTCATGTCCCCGACACTTGATACAAAGAGGAAATTAAGTAATCCTGCCAACACAGGACTCTGGAGAGCTGCTCTGTTCTGCACGTGTGATCTGTCAAGGGGGTTTCTCTCACCAGGAAAAGGTAGTCGAATATCTTAGAGGGTTTGTCCATCTGTGCCATGGTAACCATCATCTCGTTGTCGATGAATTCCTTATAGTCTTTCATGTCCATGTTTAAGTTCTTCTCGAGAGCCATCCGGACCTAGAGACACGAAATAACATTCTTCAGAATCACAAGCCCAGATAAGCTGTGATCAGGGGCGCTGTAAAGGGGGGGGGGCAGTTAGAATGATTCCAAGGGCCCGAGTGACAGGGGCCTAAAAAATTTGGAACATAATATGATTGGTCTGAGTTGGGGGCTCAAAATTATATGCTGCCATGGGGTCCAAAATCTCTAATGACACCGCTGGCTGTGACGGTAAATATCTGATGGGGTTCTTGCCCTCCCCTTGGCTTCTGGATCTCTCTCCTCCCCCCACCTGTTTGGATGTGATGTTCTCAAGATCTTCGGTCCTCATGATCTCCCTTAGCTGGGCTTTGATCCTCCTCTCCACCGACACTCTCTCTGAAGAACTGATGAAAGGGTGAAGCCTCGTCATCCAGATGCTAAAGCCAGGACACACCAAGTAGCGTTTGATATCTGAGGCCTAGCTGGGGACGAGTCCTGACCTTTGCCCCATGTTGTCCCTCCTGACCGACTCCAGGCCCATCATTGCTCCCCACTCGTTGCGGCAGAGGCGGTCTGACTCCACCTGGGAAACGTAGTTCTGGGTCCAGGTCAGTCCAGAGCCTGGGATGATGGCACCTTTCACTGCCCTCTCACAACAGCCATGCAGGGCCTGCAGGACTGACCTGCGTGAAGAAGCAAGAATTAATCCAACAGGTCGTAGGAGAACAAGGGGATTGAAGCACAGCTAGCAAGAGCACTAACAACACTTTCCAATTAATATCAGAAAACAGGAGGTTATAGGGTTCAGACCCCGACACGTTACTGGCAATAGCAGCGTGGCGTCGTAAGTGGAGAGTAAATACATTTCAGATGCAAATTAATGAGTCCATACAGAAGCAGGTAGAATCATCGAGTCCTTCAATATAAGCTCACCACATGGTCTGAATGGATACAGGTTTGAAGATCCTTGTCATCTTCGCTGAGGTGACACTAAACCCACTGAAATGGAGAAAAAAAGAAAAAAAAAGGACTGTAGCTGAAACGTTAATAGTTAATAAACATTGTAGAGTTAATAGTGCTACAGTGTACATGCACTAACTGAATCAGGGGCAGCCATCACCAAGGAACAGGAGCGCGGTGGTTTTGCAAAAAGGCTATTTTGACTTTACCACCTCGGCTCCTGCAACATCTCTGCTTTCAGCACCCAAACCCATTAACCCAGAGATGGAACTATTCCCCCCCCCGCGAAATATGTGTTTCAAAGGTTTCAGAAAACACAAAACAACCACAGTAAAACACACATATATGTGCACATGCAAATGTACACATTCACACGCCCACACAGAGAACCTTAAATAAACATCCCATGCAATATTTGAGCATGCCATGTCTGGGCAATTAAGAACCAGTGCTTAAATAATCAATTTCATTTGTTTGCATAGCAAAAACCATGGAAGAATGAAAAGAAAAATCAGCTGTATAAACATTAGACTCATCAGAGCTCTAGGACACTGTTCAGCCAGAGCTACTGCATCTTGTGCAGGAACATTTTTAACATTCACTTGTCGTGACGAATGTCCGATCCCTCATTGGCCATTAATCTGCTAGCCTCCTTTTTTTTTCTCCGCACCCCTTCCAGTCTCCTACCCGTCTCCGTCAAGGTAGACCTGCGTGTCACTCCAAATGGGGAGAACCAGGCCAATCGTGCAACAATCACTGCAAGAGAAAAAGGCAAAATTATGATACATTGTTGCGGAGTCCTTTACGTAATGTAGCATATTATTATGCATCTGAATGTTCTTGAATTGCCACTGAATTGCAATAGCTGGAAAGCACTAGATTGAAGCTCTGGAAGCTACAACTGCAGGAGGTATACACACCTCTCCATGTTGGGGAAATCCACTCCGAGTAAGATGCTCTCATTTTTACTACAGTCGGTCGAAATAACTAACAAGTATCTCACTCTGACGGGACTGACAGACTCCAACCTCACCGCCTGACAACGAAAGAAAACAAAGTTTGTGTTACACATCATATGTAAACAAACACATATTAACATATTTTATATATTTTAACATATTTATATTTTTAAAGTGTATGTCTGTATGCATCCAGAGGTAATTCAAGGGACTCTGGGGGGCCAAGGCAAAAACTCCATGGGGCCCCCAAACTTCCCCTCCCCCGGCAGGGTAAAAATGTATTACCTTTATTTTACTCTTAAGTGTATATTAATCATTTCAACAAAGAGAATTTAATAAACACAGGACCTTTATTTTCACTTTTGTGAAAAACAATGCACAAATAAAGCAGATTTGTCGTTGCAATGTACTATGTAATCGGTGGCCCTCGGGGGCCCCCCTCTCAGCTCGGGGCCCCAGGCCATTGCCTGTCCTCTCACTGTGCCACACACACACACAGGTTTGTAATTACACCTTTGTGGGGACTCCCCGTTCATTTCTATTGGGAAAACTCCAATCCCAACATGACAACCTTAACCCCTACCCAGCCCTAACTTAAACCATAATTAAAAAGACAAAATACGAGACTTTTGGCATTTTTAGTTTTTTGATTGCATTCACAGGTCTTTGTGGGGACCTGGAAAATTGTTCCCACAAGGTCAAAATAACAGGTTTTTATTACATTGTGGGGAACATTTGGTCCTCACAATGTAATAAAAACATAATACACATACACACACAAACACACACATACAAATGGTGCAGGAGCATGAATGTACACTTTGCAAACCAATTTGACTGAGAGCCTGAGAGGAAGAGGAAGAGGAGGTGAGAGGAGGAACAGCACCGCAGAGATGTGCACTACTCCGCACGGCAAGCAGCTCGCACCAGCTTGAGGGTGTCCTCCGGTCGCAGCAGCGACACCATGGCCTGGAGGTGTCTGTGCTGAGTCTCCGATTTCCCTCCCCCTTGTGGGCGGTGCTTCAGCAGAGGGGGCGAAGTCCCAATCTCTCCTCCTTCACTCTCTTCCAGCAACAGCACTGCCCCCTTCACCAGGGCAAAGCTTTCTCTGTCAGTGAAAGTGGGCCGATATTTTAACAAATTAACGGTGACTTTGTGCGACAATGAGAAAATACGACAATAATGTTGACCATAATCACTTTTTTTGCGAGACAATCCTCAACATCGTAATGACTGACAACACAGAGGCAAGTACAACCATCTAAACAAATTTGCTTGTAACTTGAAAAATTTATTTTCCAATAATTCCAGTAGTTATACCTCTTCTGGAGTTGTCCTCTCCTTGGGATTGCTTCATCCTTTAAGAAATCAATTTTAAAAAATGAAAAATAAAACATGACGGATGACAGTACAATTATTGCAAAGGATTTTATTTTCCTCTTTCCAGAGAACACTGTACTGTAGGGAAGAAGGAGAGGAATAGGGAGCAGGGAGGGAGAGCGTCAACACGGAGGACAGAGAGGGATGAAACGTGAGATAGTAACATTACCTGTTATGCAACTGACATGTCCAGACAGGGACAGTAAAAAAAACACAGAGAAAGAGAGAGAGAGGGGGGGGGGGCAGAGAGAGCGGAGCGATGGGACGGGGAGAAAGAGAGAGAGAAAATGAGTTAAGCCAGGAATTTGATTTACTGACTGACTCAAATAGTTTTTCACCGTCATGAAGGTCAGGAGGTGAGAGACAGAGAGCAAACAGCGATGAATTAAAAAATTTCAAACAAATAACAAAACGACGACAATGTTCCAGATGGCGTTAAACGACACAGACAGAGGGAGAAAATGATAAGCAAGACGGTCACAAAAGGTGTTATCACACAGCACGTCAGAAACGGGGAGTGTGAGAGTCGGGGACAGCTCTGCAGCTGTAACACTATCTGCCGCTCTCGCTATGGCTTAGACAACACTGATGTAAATGATACATCCATAGCTACCCGTGTAGTTTTACTGAACGGGAAGAAAGCACTCCTATACAGATGAATCTTGTTTAAAACACGACTATCTTATTTCCCATTTTGTCCGCCAAACAAAAATCTACCCATTTCGTCATCAACAGAGTATTATACAGTAGTCCCTGTAAAAACAAAATCAATCCTATTCACAGACAGGCAGAAAAGCCTCTCATCTCTGCAACGGCTGGCAAGTTAATTGTTACCTACTAAGCCTAAGGTAACAGAATTACTCCTGGAAAAGTTTATTTATAACTAGTCCATTAAGACAGTGGTGCTGAGACAAGTGTGAGGGGGTGTTTTTTCCTCTGTGAACTGTCGCAACGGCTACTATACTACTATACTCAGGTGCCATCAGTACAGCTAGACCCACTGCCAGAGAAAAGCATAGCAATTTGTACCTTTGCTTGTCACTGGGGCTGTACCCTCAAGGAACTGCTAATTATACCCTAGGTGTAGGTAATTGTACCTTTTATGGTACAGAAATGGACTACAGAGAATATTGTTGTGCCATTGATGGTACATTAATGTTGTTTGTACCTTTGGGATGTTCCTCAGAGTCCATTTCTATAGCTTAATTTACACTAAAAGGTTCATTTACCTACAGCTAGGGTACAACTGGCGGACCCTTGAGGGGACAGCCCGAGTGACAAGCAGAGGTACGAACTGGCAATCTTCTGCCATTGTAGTGACACGTTATACTTTCCAAATAAACCTCAGAGCAACAAATGCGTTCTACTTCCGTTCCTTAACTTCTTCACATCAACTTTTCGCCCCGCAACAATCCTTCGCCCTAACTAAGGAAATGCAGTTTAATAACGACGCGTGCTCATAGCTTGCACTTTCCAACATACTCCGAAAACAGGTTGGTGCAGAATAAAATAAATTCCCAGCACACAAACAAAGCAACCGCTGTAAGAATGAAAACTCGCCCATGAGAAGGAAACGAAATCGCAGCTGGTATCCGTGCGGACAGTGCAGCACAGGCGGCGTGACAGGCGCGGACTCACCGGCGTGCAGACTGACGGAGTGCGGTGCAGCGTGAGCAGGGCCATGCCGTCGGGCTGCTGGGCGCCTGGGGTCACACACAGGGGACCCGTGAAGCACGGAGGAAGCGAAACACCCTGCGAACGGGAGCAGCGTTAAGCCGAGACTGACAATCTGGACGTACCAGAAATGCAGAAAGGTGCCGTGACGCGAAAAAAAAAATCTACAAGTATCGCCGGTGTAGAAACACAGTAACGCCCCATAGACTTACTATTTAAAAAATCAAAAGTCGACGCTGGACGTTTCCAAGAGCGACACATTGTGTAACAGCTTCTGACACAACCAGACTGCCGCAGTGACAAATATCATTACTTTTTCTAATCACCGTACCGTATCACTGACCAGCTTTAACGCTGTCCAAATACACATATATACACATATATAACACCCACACAGTTTTTATGTTGCAACTGCAACGAAGTCCAGAAAACCTTCAGTTGTGCGTTTCTGTTTCCGCACATGGATAAAAAAGAAGCACCAGCCAGCTGTTTTCACACGTACAGCCAGGCGCATTAAACGTGGCAACGCAACACGACATTCCCATCCGGCTCGGCAAGTATGTAACTACCATGTAACTATACATGGCAATACATGCGATCACTTATCCAAAATACCTATTATGCGATGCGCTACCTTGCAAAGTGGGGTAAAAATCGTACATGACACGAACCGCGTTAGATCGCGACTTCAAAAAGCGCATCTGCGGAAAAGCCGAGCCAGCCAAGACTTCTTCCAGGGCTTGCTAGGCGGCTTGCTAAAAACCTAACTTACTAGTTCCTTAAAATTTAACCCATGAAGAACAGAAGGCGGATAGACAAGACGATCCTCTCACCCACCTCCAAATACTGTCCCTCTTCTCCCGTTCTCCTCCCTTTTTTGGGGTCCCTCTCCTCTTTTCTTATTTTGATCCCGCTGGCGAAAGGCTGCTTCAATTCCTCAGTAGGCATTCAATTAAAGGTGAGTGCTACTATCGAACCAGGAAGAAATAGTTTCGGCCGAGAAAAGTAAACACGACCTTATTAGGAAGAGGCGGATTCCGCACTGCTTTTCTTAAAGGGGAAGGAGTCTTGCCTTTCACTCTCTTAAGGGTACTGTAAAATGTACGCCGCATTGTAGGAATACCACTGGTTCCTGTAGATAACCATTTTAGTAGATGCGACGTCATTAGCATGTTTGATAAGGAAAAGAAGAATATGTGCTAATTCAAGCCTTCCTGAGACAGTTACCCACGTTCCATGATGTATAGAGGCAAAACTTAACTTGAACTGCTCTCACACAGCAGAAGACCAATGAAAACACCCAAAACATTCACTGACTTTATTTATTATCCACATCATTCATTAGTCAACCAGCATAGCTCAGATTTAAACATTTTTTCCAGTAATTATACTCTCATCTTTTTTTAAAATGCATTTCAGAATTTCTGATCATTAAAATTATGATAGCAGGAATGTGAAAAATCTATTATCAGTACTATCGCTTCCGTATGTCTGAATGCGTGCCAGACCGTTTAGCTGAGTAGATGCAATGAATTAACTCTCGTGCCTGCAACAAGTGTTGTTAATACCTCACAGGCAGTCTCACACTTCTGTTTTTGTTAGCAAATTCTTTATTCCAGGGCAATCTAGGCATTTTTTTTTTAATTTATAGATCTCCTGGAGCAATTCTGGAACTTGAACCAGCGACCTTCTGGTTATACATCGATATCCAATACTCTGGCTGACCTTTCACCATTCACTGAGGTCAGAATTTTGGTCAGGGAGGCTAAGAATGAATCCTTACTCCTCCTTAACTCTACCGTCCTTCAAGGTACGCGTTGAGTTTCTTCAAATGACAAAAATAAACAAATAACAATAATTTAACATTTCAGGTAAAGCACAGGTAATAAACAGCTTATTGTCCTATTGAAAGCCCCTTTCCCGGCATGGCTCTTCGTTACTTCTCTGTGAGTGACAGCTGTAATATCCTCTCCAGCTCCTCTTCCTCCTCCTGCCGTTTCCTGTCAAAGTTTGCGAGCCCATCAGGGTCAAGGAGAAATGACCATTGCTGATCAACACGTTCCGACGTGATTTTATTCCGACTGAAGTTGGAACTCATGATCAGACTTTCAGCCTCGTCCCTGTTAAACACCTTTTCTCACCTGTCCATTTCCTCTTGGTCCCTGCAGGACAGCTCCATGGCGATACGCAGCTGCTCGTCAAAACTGGTCGCCATGCCGACCACCCCGGGGTCCCTCTGATCAGTCAGTGAGCTGTAAGATGGGGGGTAATGGACCGCCTGGTCTGGGGAGGGCACTGGTTGTGGGTTCTGGGGCTCTTCTAATCCCAGGGTGTCCCCTCCATCTGTGACAGCTAAGGAGTGGGACAGGGACTCCTGGATTGCCCTGTTAACGATGGAGAAAGGTAAAATAGCATGTATACTGCGGTAAATGGAAGTTCTGTCCAAAATGTGATATTTATGGAACTCATCTCAAACTAAAAACATTAAAGACATTCATGTACTTGTCTGCCATATATAACCTTCCACATGTTTCATGCACACTGTTACAAGTTCTAAATGTATATAATACTATTCACCACTTTTTCACAGACTACCCGACAGCTGCAGATTTATCAGAAATATTTCCTTCAAGAGACTGGAGGTTACCTTTCTGTGTATGAAATATCAAAGTAACTGAAAAATCTCAATATTAACACCATAAAGCACACATATGACAAGCACTGGATGTTCATGCCTGTTGAAAATGGGTAGCAAGCACCACGCACTTCCTGGTCTGCGTCAGGCGTTTCAAAAATGCACGCTAGCAGAGCGAGACTGACCTCTCGAGCTGCGAGTCGTCCTCGTACAGGGCCGAGTGCGAAGGCGGCCGGCTGTTGGTAAGGGCCTCCCATACCGTCACCTGTTTGAAGACGGCGACTCGCAGTTTACAGAGATGACACGGCCAATCACATTTACGATCTCCATGCTTCGATCTGTGCATCTGATTCATGTGGTCGTGGCTGCCCACACGTAAACACAGCCTCTTGGCACTCTCTGTGCACCTTCACCACCCCCCCACCCCCGTCAGACGGCCGCATGGTCTCACCTGGTCACTCTCAGTGCCTGCGTCCAGCAGGCTCTGCTGAATCGCAAACTGCAATAGGTTGTCGTCCTCATCTCTTAGGGGTTCGCTGCGGCCCGGACCAAGGGTGGTGTAGTCCGGGGGGGGTTCAAACACGGAAGGATCCACCTCGCATTGTAGGGGAGGGGGAGTCTGCCCTGGGAAAAGAGGGAAAGTGACAGAAAACGGTTCATTAAAAAAAAAAAAAAACTACAAAATGGAAAAAATGAGAGCAATGGTGTAACATGTGCCTATAACATGTGACTGTAATATTGTTATAAAGTTACCAGCTTCGGGGGCAGCCTCCGGTGTGTGGACAGTGACAGAGCTAACCGGCTCATCACAGCCACAGAGGTTACTGAAGGTCACTCTCGCGTTGAGCACATGGAACAGAGGGATCTCTGGGACAGGGAGACGAGACGTCTGTTAAAAAGTAGCATGAACAGCCAAACGATAGTGAAAAGTTGAACTTTTCTTAACGAAAGATAATAGCAATGAGAGCAAACATCGGTCTGCAAACAATGCTGTATGCAAACTGATATTGTTGGTGTTGGTGAGGTTAACAGGTTAGCCCATCTTGTGGTCTGTGTGGATCCCAGTGCCCCAGTGCAGTGACGGGGACACTGTGGCCAGCAGGTTAGCCCATCTTGTGGTCTGTGTGGATCCCAGTGCCCCAGTGCAGTGACGGGGACACTGTGCTGTAAAAATGGCGCTGTCCTTTGGATGAGACGTAACACCAAGGTCCTGACTTTCTGAGGTCATAAAAGATCCCTGGGCATCTTTTGAAAGAGCAGGGGCGGTACCCCGATGTCCTGGCTAAAACTGCCCACTGTGGCCCTATCAAATCTGGCCTCCTAATCATCCCCTATACCTAACTGGTGAATTTCCTCCTGCCCCTTCAGCACCTCAGCTAACTGTACTGACACAAGATAGCTGCCACTGCATCATCCAGCTGAGTGCAATGCAGTGGAGGTGGACAAAATGATCCCCCATTGCTTCTGTAAAGCACTTTGGGTGCCTTGAAAAGCGCATTATATAAATGCAACTTTTATTCATTCATTCATTCATACTGACATTATCTGAACTTGTGGAAGGCATTTATTTGTTTATTTTTAAGTGCTGGACTACTGAATTAAATACATTTCAATTAAAAATAACAAATATGGCTGTACAAAATACAGAAATGTATGCAAGATGGTGCATTCTTGACAAATAGTGAATTCTGCTTTTTCAGTTTTTCTCGTACCTATCTTGACAGGAAAGCCATGCGGAAGGCGGAGGGTGATGAAATCGCGCAGTTTGGCGAAGTGTGCGTTGGAGATGGCCATGAGGTCGATGATGGGCGTGACCTGCTCTGCCAAGGAGAGGGGGTGAGCTTCACTGAGCCAAAGGTTCGCCTTGAACCTGAAAACGATAGATGAAAGAGAGAGAGAGAAATGCATGATGGGAGCGATCAAGGCTCAGAGAAAGAGGGGGATAAGAACGACAGCTTCCAGCATGTGTTAGCCTGTTGTTACACTGGCTGTGAGGCCTAAACACTCAAAAAGGGGAACTTTGCTGTCAAGCTGCAAGAGTACAGCAACCCAGTGGCAACACTCTTGTGTGTTTTAGCGGGTAACCCGCCTATCTCTGCATTCACACAGTCAAAGGGCAAGCAGCTGAAAGTCAGTGGCGCTACGGCGAGGCAGGAGACCTCTGCACTTTGCTGGTGAGCTCCACCGGCCGCCCAATATCCCTGCTGTTGAGGTCAAACTCCGGGTTGAAATACTCCTCGGCGGTGATAGCCGTGGGGTTGTGAGGACTGGCACACTGAGAGACGTGACTCTGCAAGACAGTCGGACGGACAATCGTTTAGTCCTGCCTATGAGCCAGCCAAGCTAATCAATCTACGAAATAAGGATGAGATGAGATTGCAAAATAACGCGAAGACGACTCACTCCATTATGAGGCACGTGCTGCTCTGCTATGCCTAGAAAGGACTGGAGAGGGGTCTTTGAACCTTTGAATTACAAAAAAGGGGGGGGTGGGGAGGTTGGAGAAAGATGTAATCAATGCTGCAAAACCTATTGCAAAATGGCCTGTTTGGTTACTGCTCAAATTCCCCTGTTACAGCTCAACAGAATGCTGGTCTTTACTGTATCAGGCTTAACTGTCTGTATCACCCGCAGACAGAAAACTGCATAATAGGGGCTTTTCACCATGGATCGCCAGCAAACCCTGACCAATCAGACACTCCCATGCTTGCAATCTCAGGACATCAGCAAATTTTTTTTCAGCACGTCGACAGAGTCCTTCTACTCGCTGAGACGCTCAGCGATTGCAGAATTTCCTTCCCTTTATGTCATTTCCTCCTCCCCTCACTCCTCTATCTCTCACCTTTGCTCCGCGACTTGTCCTGGTCTGAGAGGTGTTCTGTCCTCGATCGTGTCACCAGCTCCACGTTGCTGGCACTGTACACCTGTGAGAGCAAACAAAAAGCAAGCAAGATCAACAAAGATGGCACACTATGTCTGAGTAAAAAGCACACCTTAAAGCGTGGCTCCCTGTGTTTACATATGTCTATCCAACGCCAACACGAAGGCTGACGTGCAAACCCCTCCCACATCTAAACACAGCTGAGATCTTCCTCCTCGTGGCTCTGGCTGTTCCTATGGCTTTCACACAGCCCAGATTCACCTTGGATGTTTCCTACCCCTGATAACAGAGTAACATGAACATATAGCGTGCTGGTTTGAGACATGACCTGGTAATCAGACGACTGCCAGTTCAGTTCAGAAGGGAATATTTCCCTTGAAAAAGGTGCCAGTGTATAAAAAATACTGTCGTTTGCCCAGAAGTCATATCAGATGCAAGCTTAGCCGCTCTGATACGCCGTATAAGGCATGGCT